TCTCAAGTGAAGGATCATTGAGCATCCTCTGTTTTTTTGCACCTCTGCCCCGCAAAGGATGCAGCAGAGAGCTCAGCACATACTGTTGGGAGAACTCCCATGGGAGTTCTAGCTTCTCTTTGCAGAAGCTGAGGGTCACAACCTGTTGCGTGGCAAAAACAAGGAAGTCTCACAAGACCTCTCCTTTGCTGACACGCAGCTCCCACGGTTGGCTCGGCTCTCCTCTCACTGGGAGAAAAGTCCTACTCATACCCCTGACACGAGGGCTGCAGGTGTCCAGCAGATTTGGTGATTGGCTATCACGTGGAGATCATGCTTTGATCAGGTGTTACTAGGGATATAAAAGAAAGCTACTAGCACTTAATAAATGGAGCTTCTGCCATCTTGCTGTCTCCCGCCTCATCCATGCGTCTCTGGGTTACAGAGCACTGAGCTAGTCTCATGCTCTCCAATGCAGTGGCTGCGACAACATACCATAACGAGGGTTCAAGAAATAGCTGCTAAATGAATGAATCTGCTCCTATTCCTAATTCTAGACTCACCTCATCACCTTGTACAAAATCACCCTGCATATTCTACACCTCAGTTTCCCTGTCTGCAAAATGAGAACAATGGTAACCACCATCTCCTTCTCTTATTAGGATGGGGAAAGACAAAGAGCCATGGATTCCTCCGTTCTCTACACTAGTCATACCATTGGTATGCCCACACCGTAGGGCCAACTGGGCTAGGGAGGTGCGAGAGGTCCCTTGGCAGAATGAACCAGAGCCAGCCCCAGGGACAGGAAGACCCTGTGCACATGCCTGCTCTGCCCTACTAGCTGGTGACCCTGAGCACACCCCTTAACTTCTCAGTGCCTCAGACAAATCTTTAAGATTATAATTCGCAGAACAGTTGTTGATTTGCATTGCTAGAAGGAGTTTTTTCACCAGTTCTCTATACCAAAGAAATCACAATAGTTTAAAAAAAAAAAAAAAGGCCTGGATAAAGTCAAAGCTCAGCTACCTGTGGTATTGAGGATCAGAGAGATCCCAGGACAGAACAGCTCAGGTTTACCATTCACCAAGTACTTTCTTCCAAACATCCTTAGGACGCAGGCAATACAAGCCTTGTTATTCCCATTTAATAGATAAGGAAAACTGTCTCAGATAAGTGGCCCTACCCACGTTCAAATAGCTAGTAGGTGTCACAAGCCAGGTCATCTGAATCCAAGTCTTTACATTCTTTCCAATACATCTACATTGCCCTTCCAAATGAAAGCTCACATATACATGGTACTATTAAGTTTTTAAATGCACCTTCTCATCTGATACTCATAACAATTTGAAGATATTGAGGTCCTGTGAGATTAGAGCGTCGGAGGCAACATCAGCATGAAGGCTGCAGCTAGGGGGACGAGAGGAAGACAAAGAGCAGAGTAGGGAACTCCAGCAGATGCGCTGCCCTCCGTTCCCGGGGCACAGTACAGCCCACTCACATGCAGGCTCTGGGCTGGGCAGCGTTGGGGGGCATCCTTGCCTGGTCAAAGGCAGGGGCCCTACAGAGCTCGATGATCTCCTGCCTCCTTGCTTAAGTTCCGAATGCATTGTACAGACAGATGTTCAAAGTTAGAGAAGATTATGTTCCTATGGTCTGAAAGAGTCAGGAAAGGCCTCCCAAGGGAGCTGGGCTTCTCAGTGCCGCTGCTTCTTGGTACCTGCCTCATATCTGACGCTGCTGCCCACCTTCTTCGCCTCAGTATTCTGTTCCATGGCTTTCTGTGCCAGTTTTCTCCTAGGGCCCTCCTCCATGTCTACCTGCTCCTCTGACTCCTGGGCTGGTTCATCAGGACCTCTTTTCTTCTCTTCTGGTCACTTCAACAGCTCCCATGAGTTCATTATCTCCATGCAGATGACTTCCAGATCTCTCTACACACAGCCCTAATCTCTCTCACACATTCACAGAATTTGAGAGCTGGAAGAGATGTGAGCAGCCACCTAATCCAACCCGTACCCAAAAGGACCCCCCCCAGCCACCTGACAAATGGCCTCTGCTTGAAGACCTCCCCAGAGGGGGCCGTGTTGGTGATTCATCATTAGAAAGCTGTCCTGACACAAAGCCTACATTGCTTTCTTTGGGACTCCTATTGCCGATCCTGTTCTACCCTCTGGAGCCCCAACAGAACAAAACGGACTTCTCCCTCGCTGGGCGGCGTCAGTCCTGTTGCCTCCTGGCCATCTCGGCCTGGATGTTCCAGAGGCAGCTCAAGCTCGCCTGGCCCAGGGTCAGATATCAGGGTTATCTGCACCTCATCCTCTCTCCCCCACGAGGCCACTGCTGCCAAAGCTTGTTTCTGCCTCTACATCTTTCTAATCTGACCTCTTCTATGTGCACGTACAGCACCCGCATCGCTCAGGTGCTCATCATTGAAGGCCTTTGAAGGCCTCCAAACAGACCTCTCTCCACTCCAATCCAGCAGCCACACGACTGCTAACATGATTTCCCTTCATCACAAATCTGACCAATTACTCCCCTACTCAATCAACTCCAATGACTCCCCACTCCCTCTAAGAGAAAGAAACTATAACCTCCAGTTTGACTTGTAAAGCCCTTCAGAACCTGGCCTCGATGGACCTTCCCAGCTCCCCATCCCGCACTCTGTGATCCAGACAAATTGATTTTCTCCCTGTCCTTCACATACCACCTGCCACCTCTTCACTCTGGCCATTCCCGGTACCTGGCATTGCCTCTCTTCCTCCCTCTCTGCCCCAAAGAGACCCTCTTTTCCTTCAAGAAACACTGCAAGCATCACCTTCTCCATTGAGCCTTTCCTGATCCCTCCCAGCTGCTAGTCTCTACCACCTTCCCTTACTATCTTTACTTAATTATTTTGTATGTATTCTGTATTATTCTATATAAGTTGTCCCAAATGTCTTGGTGCAGCTTTTGACTTTTGGGTTACCCCATATATCTTGATTCTGTATATGTATACACACACACACACACACACACACACACACACACACACACACGTCTCTTCAGATAGAATATAAACTCTTGGACAGCTGGGACTGTTTCATGTTTGGTCTTTGTATCTATCCCCAGCACCTAGGACAGTGAAAAATTGCATGCTGACTAATTTACTGAGCAACTCCATGAGTTGGGTAACACGATCCCGGGCTACACAGATGAAGAAAGTGGGAGAGTCAAGACTGAAGCCCAGATCTTTGGTCTCCAAATGAGACTCTACCTTATGTAACCATCCTAGATCTCTTAGCAGCTAGCAAAATGTTCTGCATACAACAGGTGCTTAATAAATACTGACCGCCTGAACAAATGGAATACAGAAACGAAGTGTTCCCTCCCCTAGGGTGCCTCAAATTCCCAACAATCCAAGCACCTCATTTTAGTTGAGATTTTGCCCAGTCAATTTTTTTACACTAAACCCAAAGAGCTTGGCAATTAACCTTGTCTGCCAAGTGACAGCTGAAACCCAGCAAACTCCGATCTTCACCGCTGCCTTCTGATGAGGAGACAACTGGCTTAAGCCAGGCCCACACGCCAAAGGTCTCCAGTCTCCCCACTCAGCTTCTCTACAGCCTGGTAAGGCTGCCTTGACTGTTTTTCTGTCTTGGCAGGCCCGATATTACTCTTCCATTTCCCTTTAAAATCCTTCTGGGAAATGAGAACAGCAATAAAGAAGAAAATAAAACAGTGGAAATACACTGCTGATTAAAATCTATATTGCTATGGCAGCCCCTTCGAGCCAGGATCAGCTCCTGGCTTGCACCAGCTGGGCTTGTGGAGCTTGTAAATAATTAAAAGGTAATTGGAAGGAGAGACCAAAGTATTAAGTGGATTTCTCTCTCTCCCTGGGTAAGCAAGAGGTTTTCTGCTGGCAGTCACATACATTTTCAGGATTATATCCTTCTTTCTTCACTTACAGTGACATGTGTAGCTTCAGATAATGGTTATAAGTGTAAACCAGTTAGCCTTCCTAGACCCTGTCTTTGCAGAAATTGATGTCTGGGAAAAATGGGACTCAAAGCTTTCAAACACCCTCGTGAACAATCTTGTAGTTACACACATCCTAGCCAGGCAGTTGTTATGGTTTTTGTAAGCAAAAAAATGGGGAGCAGAACTGCTCTGGGAAACTGGGGAGGATGGCCTAAGCTGAACCAGAGTATCTTAACCTCCTGCTTTCAGGAAATGTTGATTTCTCTGCCCACAAAAAGACTGAGGCGTGAACCCAGTAGTGGCACTGAAGCAAGGGGCTTCGAAGAAACATGGTAGGTGAAGTCTTTCCTGTGGCTTGGAGCAACTGGGGGTGATAGTGCAAGGGGAGCTGAGGAGCTCTGTGGTGTGGAGTTCATGATTCCTGCCCATGCTTCCTGAGAGCTGACCTTGTTAGTGACCCAGCTCCTATAACAGGATGAAAGCCGGAAGGAAACACACTAGGCTCAAAGCTCAGTCGCACCATGGTCCCTAATGGTAGGGGGTGGGGAGGGATGGACAGCAAGGAGGAAGAAAGAATCAGGGAGTCTGGCACATTTCACAACTGAACTGCAACAATGTGCTAACCAAGATAATGGAAATAAGGATCAAAGAGCCATTTGAGAACAGAGAAAAGGGCCTCTCTTTTCCATGGATTATTTTAGGTCTTTGCTACAAATCCTAAGGGGCTCTTATTCTTCCATTTACTTTTCTCACTCTCCAGGATGTAAGAGAGACCCTGCAGGGGGCCCTGGCAATAGTGAGAGTGAACAACAGAGCAGCTGGGATGACAAAATGGAGCTAACATTTGATTTTGAAATGACTCTTGGGACCAGTTAATTGGAGTAAAAACTGAAACAGGGAAGGATTTGTATGACCATTCCACCCAGATTCCTCTAAAACTCCTCTTCCTTCACTTTGTTGCTGGTTTTGCTACTACAGCCACCAGACTTGATCAGCAAGCCTCTCGCGCTGGGACTTCGGACCTATGCCTCTGGAAGGAGACTGGTCAATATATGAGTACTCACCCCTCTTCTGCATGAAGATAAAAAGGTCATCCAGGAACTCTTTCCGTTCAGGGTCACTGTCCAGCTCATACAACTGCAAACCCCATCCCCCAAGGAAAAAAAAAATGATGTCAAATACCATCCTGCTGGCAGAACAATGCCATGGATGCAAAAAGTTACTGCCTCCCTTTGGGGGGCCCTCCTAATTAGGAATCATGACCCACCCCCATCCTTAGCTTTGGAGGTTTGGATAGGATACTAGAGAAATGATCCATGCAAATAAACTTTCTTTTCTAAACCCAAAGGATTTTTGCCACCATACGAAATAGAACAGACCTTAGCAAAATCTCGAGAGATCTCCCTTCCCCGTCCTCCATCAGCATCATCACTCCAGGTCAAACCACCATTCTGAAAAGGAACAAAGAGGAAAAGTTTACGAGGGGAAGGGAAGGAAAGATGATGAGTAAAAAGTGGGCTAGGGAATAATTTTTTTTTTTTTTTTTTTTTTTTTGGTGAGGCAGTTGGGGTTAAGTGGCTTGGCCAGAGTCACACAGCAAGTGAGTGTTATGTGTCTGAGGCCAGATTTGAACTCAGATCCTTGTGACTCCAGGGCCAGTGCTCTATCCACTGAGCCACCTAGCTGCCCTGGGAATAATTTAAAGTGAGGATAAAAAGGTCTTCTGCGATTCACTTATTCCTGCTCACATGAAATACTGGTCAGAAAGCATCAAAAACAAACAGTCCCTCATCCAACCCTGACATTCAAGTCATTTTATTTTTCATCATATGATTGAAAAAAAATAGGAAGGAGTAAGGTGAAAAGAAAGCTTTCTGACTGCAGTGGGATAGTGGTGTTAACACATGACTATCAAAGGGCTTGGGACTTCTCAAAGACAAAGGCAAGAAAAGTTGGATAAATGTATGGGAGAAGCCAGACGTCTTCTAGTGGTTCTCCCTATCCCCATCATGATAACGCCATCATCCCACAGCCTGGAAAAACATGCACTTTGACCACCTACCCATCTCTGTAAATGAGTAAAGATGGGAGAGAAAAGGCCAGAGGGTTAAAGGAAGCTGGAACTGCCATCTCTCTTCAGACATGGTCTGTCAGACTTTAAGATCTCAAGGCCTTGAAGCTAGTGCCCACATTTCTACGAAGTATGAAGTTTCTAGTGACATTACCTAAAAGAAGAGAGCAGCCTTTGCTGCTAAGGTGAAAAGTTTATTTTCATTAAAAAAGCTATAATTTAGGGAAGCCGTTAGTCACCCAGCTGAACAGTAGGAAAACAGCTAATGTGATAGAGGGAGCCTGAGGGTCCAAAAAAACCTTGACAGACTAGAACAATGGGCTAAATCTAATAGGCTGGAGTTTAAAACAGAAACTGTGAGAACCAACCACACAGGTATAGGATATGGAAGACACAGCTAAGCAACAGCTTCTGACATAAAGACCTGGGTTCTAGTGAAGTATTAGGTGGAGCTGAGTGAATAGTGTGCTGCGGCAGCCCCGAAAGCTGAGATCTCAGGCAGTGTACTGGCTATCCTCAAGAAAGGAGGTCACAGCCCTGCAGTATGCTACCCTAAAGCTCTACATCTGGGGTCCTGCTTCTGTCTCGGGCACTGAACTTTAGGAAGGTCATTGGCAAGATGGAGAAAGTCAACCAGAGAGACGATGGGGCTGTGCCACTGAAGAAAAAACTGAAGGAACTAGAGATGAAAAGAACATTAAGGGGAGACACTATAGTTGGGCTCAGGTATCTGAAGGGCTATTAATGTAGAAAAGGCATAAGACTTACTCTGTCTGGCCTCAGAGGACACAAGAGGAGCAACTGGCAGACATTGCAACGACATAAATTTCCTTTCATTTTAAGGAAAATGTTTCTAACACTTAGTCGCCTAAAAGTAAGAATGAGTTGTCTCAAGGTCACTTTAAAGCTAAGCTAATGTTGGCTAGCCAGCTGCTGGGGAGTGGATTCCTACTTGGGCACTAAGTTACAGCGCATGACCTCTGAGGCACCTTCCCGTTTCAATGCTTGAATGTCACTGGCTTTTTTACTGGGTAACATGTATTTATTTAGTATTTTATTTTCCCCCAGTTACATGTAAAAACAATTTTTAACATATGTTTTTAAAACTCTGAGTTCCTAATTCTCTCCCTTCCTCCTTTCCCACCCCACACCCCCATTAAGAAGGCAAGCAATTCGACATAGGTTATACATGTGGAGTCACGCAAAACATTTCCATAATAGCCATGTTGCGAAAGAAAACATGGGGGGGAACCTCAAGAAAAATAAAATAAAAAGTATGCTCCAATCTGTATTCAGACACCATCAGTTCTTTCTCTGGGGATGGATAGCATTTTTCATCATAAGTCCTTCAGAGTTGTCTTAGACTGTCGTATTTCTGAGAATAGCTAAGTAAGTCGTTCAGAGCTGCTCATCTTACAATATTGCCGTTATTTTGTACACATTTCACTTTGCATCAGCTCATGTTAAGTCTTTCCAGGTTTTTCTGAGAGCATCCTGTTCATTATTTCTTGTAGTACAATAGTATTCCATCATAATCACACAGCACAATCTGTTCAGCCATTCCCCAATTGATGGACATCCCCTCAATTTCTAACTGAATGTCATTGTTAAAAGGACAGGTAAAGTAAAACTGCATTATCAATTGACCTGATCAATTAGTAGCTTTATTCCTACTGAAGAGCATATGGAAATAGAGAATACAGAAATTCCAAGTTATTATAGTGAATCTAAAGGAGGCTACAGTGCATCTCGACGGGAGGAAAAGAAAAAAAAAGAAAAAAAAAAGAAAGGAGGAAAAGAGACTCTGGGGACACCTACAAGAAGGAAACAGGGAACCACGGAATTGGCCACACAAGAGGGAGTGCTTATTGAAGAAAAAAAGCTTGTAATTTCAGGGCTTGTGATCCATCCTTTAAGCAGTCAGTATTTAAATATATGTTACATTTTTCAATAGATGTTTGATACCAGTAAAGCTAAAATCCATTTTCTATTTACTGTGCAAACTAAACTGCTCATTGTAGTTTAAAGAAAACTAGACACAAGTGACTTTGTTTTTACTATTTAAAATGCTGATAATCATCCATTACAGAGTACCACAAATTCTATTATTTTGTTCTCAATAAAGTTTGAGGGAGGGGGGGCGGAAAGAGAAGGTAGGTCAGGAACAATCAAACTGGACATCGCAAATCACTGTTTGTGCCTTTCTAATGCACTTATCAAACATTACTGGGCATTACAGTTATTTGTATAAACATTTTTTTGTCCCCTTACTAGGTTATAAACTCCATGGTCACAAATTAAACAACAAGCATTTATTAAACACCTACTGCGTTCCAGATGAGCTAGGCAGCTGGAGATGCTGTAAAATATAATGAATGAAAAAAATCCCCATTCAAAATGAGTTTTTCTAAATTTTATCTCTCCTCTAGTGCCCAGCATAGTGCTCTATACACAGAAGGTGTTTAATAAATGTTTCCTGAATAAATCACCATCCTTTGTATATGGTCAGTCTATAAACAATAATGTGTATCTACAGACCTACACACTCAATCTCTAGCTCTACTCATGAGTTTACGATCTCTTTATATCACAGGATCTTAAAGCTAGAAGTGACTTTAGAGATGCAGAAAATGTCAGGCTGGGAAGCAGGTAAAGATGAACATCTGAAGACACAACTCTAATGAGGAAAAGGGAGAGTTATATTAAGAAGACTAATGTGATGGCCAGAGAGATGACCAACCAAATTAAATTTTTTTTAAAGGCAGGTACAAAAAACTTAAATGTGGCCCAATCCTGTATGAGCAGCTCCATGAGGGTCAGAATAAGGTGAAAAGGCTAAGGATGACAAAGAGAGCTTTCTTTTGTTTTCATACTTTACTGTGAGAAAGGAGGCTCAAAGATGGGATATGACCAGTAGCTGGAAAGGTAAGCCAAGGATAATAAGGAAAAGGGTTTAAAAAAATTAGGGGCAGCTATGTGACGCAGCGGATAGAGTACTGGCCCTAGAGTCAGGACCTGAGTTCAAATCTAGCCTCAGACATGTGACACTTACTAGTTGTGTGACCCTGGGCAAGTCACCTAACCCGACTGCCTAGCCAAAAAAAACCCCCAAAAAACCAAAAACCTATTTTAGGGAAAAAGGCATCAAAGAAAGGCCGGGATCAATGTTTAGCGTAGGTGGGGTGAAAACTCTGAACTTGGTGAGACAAAGCAAAGGGCTCCATCCTCAAGAAGCTTACATTCTGCTAGGGGAGAGAACATCTAGATAAATTGCTAGGTACAGAGCAAAGGTAACCTTGGGAGAGAGGACACAGCCAGAAAAAGCCTCCTGTAGGAGGTAGCGCTTGAGCCCAGTCTTAAGAGAATTAGGGATTCTAACAGGCAGAGGTTAGGCGAGAAAGAACTCCAGGCATGGGACAGAGCCAGTGAAAAGACTTGGCAATGGAAGGGACAGCGTCATGTATGAGGAATAACAAGTAAGCCCATATGGTTGAACTCCATATGGTTACTCTATAGGGAGTAAATGTGTAAGAATACAAGAGAAGGCCAGGTTGTAAAGAGCTTGAAATGCCAGAGGAGATTATATTTTATTCTAGAGCAAATAGGGAGCTGTCAGAGTTTACTGAATGGAGGGAAGGAGAGCCGCAAAGCCTGATCTACACTGCTGGGAAATCATTTTGGCAGCTTTGTGAAGGATGGGCTGGACTGGGGAAAGACTTGAAGCATAGGAGTTTAATTAATTAGAAGGCTATTTATAATAAAACAGTCCAAATGAGAGGGGACAAGGGCCTGAACTTGGGTACGTCTGTGTGAATGAAGAGAAGGGCACAGAAATGAGAGATGTCATAACAAGGTTTGACAGCAGATTGACCACAAGAGGTGAGTAGGAGCGAGAAGAGGAAGATGCTAAACAGGAAATCAGAGTCTACCCCATTGTGATGCCCGCTTTGCTCTGCTTCAGTGGACTCCCCAGGGTGGTCTCCTTGAAGGAAGCGAATTTTGAGATATATAGAGAGAGATAGTCACATAGAAATATAGACATATAGACATACACAGATATGGGTATGTGTATAATATGTGTGTGTATATATATATTATATATAAGCATGTATGTATGTAGGTATGTATGTATGCATACACACACACACAGTCACTTTCTGGCAGGGTAGTGGTGAGACAAAAAGCAAGGCAAAAAGTGTCCAAATACCATCTTTAGTAGAATGAAATGTGCTCAAGCGCCTTGTCCCTTGATGATACCAGCAGTGGGCACATGCCCCAGTGCTCTGTAAATGCTGACTGCACTCATCACATTGGCCAGAGCTAATGATAAGCTTCAGTGTAGCACTGTAGCTCAGGAAAGGCAATGACTAAGCAAGAAGA